CACCTGTCATGCAATTTTCAGATATATAATAGATTATAGCACGTCGTATTGTTGGCAAAAATCGAAAGGCTTGAACTTTTACTCCGCTTTGTAATATATTTGATTGCCTTATCTAAATTTAATTTTATTATAATATTAGATTATTCCTTATTTTCATGCATCCATTATAAACATGGCAACGCTGTCTCTAAAATTAGGTCATTTTTAAAGGGTAACCGATTGAGGAAACATTGGCAATTGATATCCTACTTTAATATTGGTCGATGAACAAAGACGCAAATACACTGAGTGAACACTCTTTCATGTTAAAGGCCACTCGACTCGACGGCCCGCGCGGGTTCATGTTTCGACTATCGATAGTTCTTTATAAAACTATCGATTGTTCCGATAGTTGATTTACTATCGATACTATCGATATACTATCGATGTTTATGCAACACTACTATAAGCAGGGATCCCAGATCTCACGATTTTTCGTGAGATCTCACGATTTAGTACTGAGTCTCACGATCACACGATAAAGCCCCTCTTTCTCACGATATTTTTAAACAAGCTGCTTGCAGTAACGAACCTTAAGTTTTTATGTAAAAACAATTATTTTTAACTAATCATATAACTGAATAATGTTGTAGAGTCCGACTCTGGAATGCTTTGTCCAAAACATAGCGGACGACTCACACTTGACAGTATCAGCGGTGGTTTGTGATTCCACTGCCCTGCCTGCATGGAGTGCACATAAAATATGAGCGATATATCGATACCAGCTACTGTTCAGAGTGAAAAGGAACTGGTATCGACATATCTCCCACCTTTCGTATGCACTCAGTGCAAGTCGAGCACTGGAATCGAAAACGCTTAGACTGTTGCATTTGCAGGCTTGCATGGTCAATTCCCTAACCACCTATTGCTAAGAAATTTATTATTTTTTAAATAAGTTTATATGAAAATTCAAAATACTTTGAGACATTTAGATGGTCCTGGATAAACAAAATTCCTCTCTCTTACTCCCAAAAAAATATGTTACTGTTTCGATTAAAACCTATCTGTCCAAAAGGAGAGCCAAAATGAGAAAAGTATTTTTCGTCTTTATCTATTATACGTGTTAGAACGGTGCTGAGAGTACATATTAATCGAAAATGCTATATATTTTACTAAATTGCGCATGCGTTGTACATTCTCACGATTTCTCACGATTTTTTCATGATCAAATTCACGATTTTGGGCTCAGTACATCTGGGATCCCTGACTATAAGAATAGACATTTTTTAAACAGCGTCCATGGAGTGCAGGTCTAATTTCCATGGATTGCTGTATATGGGGTCTATTCTGTAACAATTCCTTTATATTTAACGGCCTTTAAAAATATTTTCTTCTTTACTTCTGTCATTATTTAAACGGATCTTTAAAATACATTAGAGGACTATCTTAAAGAAATCAGTTTAAATAATGACAGAAGTAAATTAACGAATACAAACATATTTTTAAAGGTCGCCAATATTTTTAAAGGCCGTTAAATATAAAGGAATTGTTACAGAATAGACCCCTATGTCAGTGACACTCGTACTTCTACTCTTTAGTTCTTATTATTGCACTTATTTAAATTCTTAGCGTTGAAACTTACCAATGCAGGATGTAGATCTAATTTTAATAAATAGGAATCTAAGACGGGGTTAAAGTAATCAAAATAAAAAGCCTAATTCGTAAAGATCAATTTATTTTCATTTATTACACTTTATAGTTTCATTAACTGGCTTAACCTATCTATTACTCTTCGTACTCTACAGTGGGCAGTTTCAAAACGATTTTAAAACAATCAGTTTCTTATACAATATTATAAGCGTCTTTCAAAAAAAAACTTAATTATACAAATATATATAATACGTTTGTCGAAAATTATTTTAAATTCTTTATTCTGATAATTTTACTTCACATTACAATTAGTTATAGGTACTTTAAAGGTACTCCATTTTACTTCTATAGCTCCTAATTCTAACATTCAAATAGGGAACTAAACGACAGTTTTAATAACTTAAAAAAGATTTTTTTTGTGTACGTAGATATTTTGTATTGTCTATTAAAAAGTCTAGTTAGAGGAATTCTTCTAAAAACTGTTGAGATATAGCATAAAACTAGATATCTAATGCTTTAATATTTGTCTTAAATGGCCATTACATCTTTATTATTATTTCTAAATATTTCAAAAATAATTAAATTTAAAAAAATTTATTTATCTATTTATTATTGACATATTATCATAATTTTTTATAATGTAACTAAAAATAAAATAATTTACTGTATTTGTTGAAACATCAAGCAATTTAAATTAAATAAAAACTGTTTTTGTATAGTACTTAAATATAAATAACATAATTATAAAAACCAATATCTTCATGTTTAAAATTTACAAAAATAAAATGATAATCTTGACTGTAAACATTAAAGGATCACGCAGTTTCTTTATGGCTGACCTCCTAATTAAATAGAATCAGATTTGGAAAACAAATCTACAAAAGTCTAGAAAGATTAGCCTACAAAATTTTTTATATTACCCAACAAAGTGTTTTTGTGAAAGAAAAGTGTCTTAAAATTGATTGAAATAAACGAAAATGAACGAAAATGTCTTAAAATTGTCTGACAAATGCGAAAATATTCATTAGATACAGTATTATTAAAAAGTTAGGTTTTGATTTACCTATTAGATTTGAAAAAAAATCTAAACATTGTTCACAAGAATAACGAAATTTTTTTGTAAAACAAAAGTGTCTGAAAAACACGGTAATGATGATTAAAAAAGTTAGGTTTTCAATGATCAGATTTAGAAAAATCGTTCATAAGTGTCTTTAAATTGTTAAAAAAAAAAAAAAATATGAAATAATTATTAGAGTATTGTGCAGCAATTTTTTTTAAAAGAGTTAAGTTTTCACTAATTCAATTAAAAAAAAAAAAAATTGTTCACAGGAGTTTACAGAATTTTTGTAAAATAGAAATGTCTTAAAATTGTCTGAGAAACACTTCAATGATCATTACTTGAACATTGGGCGATTATTATTACTGATCAGATTTGGAAAAAATTCAAAATTGTTCACAAGAGCCTACGGATTTTTTTGTAAAACAAAAGTGTTTTAAAGTTGTCTGACAAACACGGTAATGATAATTAGAACATTGTGCGATTATAATTAAAAGAGTTACATTTTCACTGAACAGATTAAAATTGGAAAAATCTAAAAAATATTTACAAAAGTCTACAAATTTTTTTATTAATCAAAAGTGTCTTAAAATTGTCTAAAAAACACGGTAATGATGATTAGAACAGTGTGCGATTATTAATAAATATAAAATAGTTCACAAGAGTCTTAGGAATTTTTTGTAAAATAGAGGTGTCTTAAAATTGTCTGAGAAAACACGCAATGATCATTAGATTGTGCGATTATTATTATTATATTGATCACTGATCTGATTTGGAAAAAATATAAAGTTATTCATAAGAGTCTACGATTTTTATTATGCAACAAAAGTGTCTTAAAATTGTCTGAAAAATACGGAAATTTTCATTTGAACAAAATGCAATTATTATTAAGAGTTAGGTTTTCAGTAATCAGATTTAGGAAAAAAATATATAAAAATTGCTTAAAGAATTTTTTGTAAAACAAAAGTGTTGTCTGAAAAACACGGAAATGATTTTATCATTGTGTGATTATTATTAAAAGAGTTACATTTTCACTGATTTGAAAAAAAATTAAAAATTATTCACAAAAGTCTACGAAATTTTTTGTTAAATAAAAATCTTAAAATTGTCGGAAAACACGGCAATGATCGTTAGAATATTGTGCGATTATTATTAAGCTGAGCACTAATCTGATTTGGAAAAAATATATCTAAAAGTTGTTCGCAAAAGCCTATGATTTTTTTTAAACAAAATTGTTTTAAACTTATCTCAAAACACGTTAATGATCATTAGAACATTGTGCGATTATTATTAAAACGTTAGGTTTCACTGACCTGATTTGGAAAAAATATTAAAAAAATTCACAAGAAACTACGAATTTTTTTGTAAAACAAAATTGTCTTAAATTTGCCTGAAAAACAGGGAAATGATCATTAAAACAGTGTGCGATTATTACTACTGATAAGATTGTGAAAAAATACAAAATAAAAATTGTGTACAAGAGTCTACGAAAACAAAAGCGTTTTAAAGTTGTCTGAAAAACACGGCAATGACTATTAGAATATTGTACGATTATTAATAATCAGTTTTGAAAAAAACATCAAAATTGTTCATAATATTTTACGAAAAAATTTTATATAACAAAAGTGTCTTAAAAGCGCCTGAAAAATGTGAAAATAATGTTTAGAACAGTTTGCGATCATAATTAAAAAATATTAGGTATCACAAGTTAAAAAATATCTAAAAATTGTTCACATTCTACAATTTTTTTGTAAAGAAAAAAAAATGTCTTAATATTGTATGAAAAACACGCAAATGATCATTAGAACATTGTGCGATCCTTATTTCACAAGAGCATGAAAATTTTGTATCTAAAAAAAGTGTCTTAAAAGTGCACAAAAAATATTAAAATGATTGTTAGAACATTTTGTGATCGTTATAAAAATAAGTTTTTTTCAGATTTAAAAAAAATTACAAGTACTAAAAATCGTTTATTTAATTTTTTGTTTCACCAGATTATGTAAAATACGAATATTGTTGATATTCATTAAAAAATTTATTATAAAAAGAAAAAAATTAGGCGCAAAAACCTTCAAAATTAAATGTCACTCGATTGTATCGTAAATAATTACTGTTGAGGTCATTTTTAATGTCATGTTCAGTGATCTATTAATAATTTTTTTTGTAACACTTTCAAGTACTTAATATTTACTGTATTTTCGTAATAATGTTTATGGTTACTATTTCTCTAAAGAATAGAACAATAGATATAAAACAGTAGAAAAATAAAGAATTACAAATATTAATTATTTTATTTTTTTTAATTCGATTTCCTCGTATTTTGAAAAACAAAGCTTTAATTGTCTGTTGAGCATTATATCTATATCATTCGAAAATATAAGCGTCTCTTTTCATTGTTTGCCGAAAATTTGATTATTATTAAATTGACGATAATATTAAATAAAAGTTAAATCACTCTCCGTACACAAAAAAAAAACAAATCTACAATAATTAAACGAGTTAAGACACGTTTCAGGTGATGCTTAAATATACATTAAAAAGATATATTACTTTAATCTTAAAAAAGTGTTTCACTAAGTACTTTCTGCCAAAGCTTACAATATTACCAAATATTTTTTTTCTGCCACTTATTTTCTTACAAACTAATTCTTTGTTCCTTACGTTGACAAATTTAATAGATTTAACGACGAGTTGTTTTCTTGAGTCCTTGCTTTTGTCTAAAATGTCTCCGGAGAGAAGAGTGAGCAAATTTTCTCAAGTTGATCCAAGTCCTGCAAAAATTAAAAGCATATTTTTACACTATAAAAATAGGAGGGTACCAGAGATAATAAGAGATGTAACTACAAACAAATATTCTAAGGGACACAAGGATGGTATAATATCTGCTGTTGTGATGCATGTTTCATTGTTTTTACAAAATGATTTACATATCTTAAAAATCTAAAATATTTCAACCTATTTTACTGCTACTGAACCCAAAAAATTTTAATAATTATTTATATAAAATTTAACTAAATTAGATGTAATTTCACTACATAAATTAGATGTAATGACTTTCAATAAATTACAAAACCTAGTTAATGTTGAGTTGGAAATCAAGTATTTTGTACTAGATGTGGCAATATGGCTTGTTATATTGTAGGCTGCTTATTATGGGCCTACAACCGCTTACACACATATTTATTGATAAAATTGATTTGTAGGGCTGTCAAATCCTTCAGTTTATCCCTTCCTTTACCTCACACCACATACCCCTTCACTCCTGATCTACAATTGGACCGTATCGACTGTGGTATCGATGTCGGCGTCACGAATATTATATTTTATCAATGAGTAGCTATATCTACTGTTATATCTGAAGGGTACGATCAAATTTACCTTTATACAGGAGAAAACCATTTCCAGGTTCAGACTCCAGTATTATTGTAAATGTATGACACAGCGTTGTCCTGAATTGGTGGAACCTTCCTTGTTGACGAGTTGTTATTGTAGAAATGAGAGGACTTTCTCATACTTGTAGACGATGACATCAATGCAACGGTTTCGTAATATCTAAGTCTTCCACAACACCTAAAAAAATAATTTTTTTAAACAAATAATATGAGGATCGGCGCGACAATATTGAGTTTTATATGTATTTTACTTTCGAGAAAATCTTCAATGAATGTTTTAATATTAAATATGACGTTATAGAAGAGGGACGTTAACTCATATACAGGGCCGAACTTAGGATGTGTGCATTTTTTCTGCTACGTTACCAGTACATAACTAAAAAAACCTTATTAATTTTATTTGCATCTGTGAGCCATCTAGATGTCTTCCAGAAACAGAAAGAATTAAAGAGAGTTAGTTGCCTTTAATAGAAAAGAGAAGAATAGAAGAAATCTCTAAACAAGCAGAAACATTGAACAAGTATTCAGATAACCGGAAAAAACTGAGCCTGAAGACCGTTCCGTTATTCCTTTTCGTACATATAACAATTATAAATGATTACAAAAATTAATTTTTCAATTACTTATTACTTTATATATTTTCTTCCTTTTTTTAAATTACTATTTATCGATAACAATTTTTTTCACATGGGCATTTTAACATGCTTGTTTACAAAAAATAGTATGAAAAAGATGGCTGATACTGATGCATGCTCACAAAAAAAAAGTGATGAAAAGGCCTATGGATGTCACACTCCATAAAGGGGATGAAATGGCAAGATTATCATCATCATCATCATCATCATCATCATCATCAATCAGTACCATTTCCAGTGAATCCGAATGTGAAGTTGAGAGCGAAGAAGAAGAGGGTTCTGCTCAAATAGCACTAGATTAAGGTGAGTACAGCACCCCCTTATAATTTTCGGACAAGCATATCTCAAAAAGTAATTTTTTTTAAAGTTAAAGTTTCGGCAAAATAGATTAGGCAATAATATCTAGAATATGCTTATATTTTAAAGTTTTAATTATTTTCAGTCTCCAAGAAAAAAAATTAAAGGGCTTTAAATTTTGAAATATCATAATGAAAATAAATACATTCCTAAACAGCAGTATTCTTAATATAATCCCCAAATTTAAGCTCTTAATCTCTTGTTAATGATTTTTTAAAATTCGCCGAAATTAGTGGCTAAAACACCTCGTTCAGTGCTGCTTTCTGGTGTAACGCGACTGTAACCATCGTATCGTACACTCAGAGTCATCATTCGTTTCTTGCAATGATTTACACCAGTTTACACCAGTTTACACCAGTTTAAACCAGAAAATAGCACTTAACGAGGCGTTGTAAATTGTTGTAAATTGTTGTAAATTGTTGTAAATTGTTGTAAATTGTTGTAAATTGTTGTAAATTGTTGTAAATTGTTGTAAATTGTTGTAAATTGTTGTAAATTGTTGTAAATTATTGTAAATTGTTGTAAATTGTTGTAAATTGTTGTAAATTGTTGTAAATTGTTGTAAATTGTTGTAAATTGTTGTAAATTGTTGTAAATTGTTGTAAATTGTTATAAATTGTTGTAAATTGTTTTCTGATTGACGTCATTCTTCGGATTACCCAAGCAAGAAAATACTCTAAAATACGTAAATAAGATTGTGGTGCGAAATAAAGAGGAGGCTGGAAAAAATTGTACTATTGACATGGATCAATAATCGAGAGAAAAAGCGATATCGCGTCATCGTTGAAAGAATGATTGGTATAGTACAATTCTTAGCCAGTCAAAATTTGGCATTCAGAAGAACTAGTACGAAGTTGTATCATAGAGTTAATGGTAATTTTTTAAAGACAGTGGAGATTTCGTCAAATTTAACCCAGTTATTTCAGAATGCCTTAATGTCAGTAAATACTAGGATAACAAAAGACGCATTCCACACTATTTAGGGCAGCATTTTCAAAAAAAGAAATAATAAATATTTTAGCCGAGTCTATTCGCATTGTCAAAAAAGCCAAATAGTACACTATAATTCTTGACTCTATACCAGATATCAGTCATATAGAACAAATAACGTATGTAATTAGATGTGTGAACAATACTGATGGTAAGGTAGATATTTTAGATTTTTTTCTAGGATTTGTTCCACTAACTAATACCACTGGAGAAGGTCTGAACAATTTTCTGTTAGAGAAGCCTGAAATTAAAGATATAGGGCTTTAGAAGCGGATTCTCAATATTAATTTTAAAATATTATACGTGCCGTGTGCAGATCATACATTAAATATCGTCGTTAATGACGCTGCTAATGGTGAAATTTTTGGTTTTATGATATGGTACAAGAGGTATATAACTACTTTTCTGCGCTCCCATATAGATGGGATTTACAAAAAAAAACACGTTAAAAGTCTAACTTTAAAACAAGGTAGAACATTCATATCAATGTTAAAATAAGGCCTAAAAAACATTATTACCACATTACCAGAGACACGAAAGCAAAAATGGGTGTTGAATCAATAATTGAAAGTTTTAAAATATTTAAATTTTGTTTACAATTTTAATTTGGCATGATTTATTATCAAGAATTGATGTATTTAGTAAAATGCTTCAAAATTCTATATTAAACATTATTGAAGGCTTAGAGATAATCTTAAAAAATATTTAGTATTCCAAAAATCTGACGATAATTTTAAAACATTTGACGATTGAGCAACAACACTTGTTAGAGATTTAGGTATTGATCCCAAATTTACCATTTTGAAGCTTAGGAAAAAGGCCCGTTTATTTGATTGCGAGGGCAGTGATGAACCAGTTTCAAATCCCTTCCAGCAACTCAAGACTGCTTTCTATTTTGTAATTCTTTACCTTATTGTCTGAGTGCTATTCAATATTCTGCTTTCTATATGAGTTTTACAGCATTTCTAATGATCATTTCATGAAAGCCTTCATGGGGTTATACATTAAGTTTTACAGATACAGGAGGCAGGAAGTATTGTAAAAGATATTGACGGTATACAACTCTTTAATAAAATAACTATATTCAAAGATTTTTCCAGGTAAAAATCAGCCAATTGAGATATTAGAAATTATACTCAATAATTATTTCATTTCCCGTTTTTTAAATTTTGCTCTATAAATAAGAATTTTTGTAACTTTACCTGTTTCTATGGCTTCAGGTAAAAGAAGTTTCAGTAAATTATTAAAAAATACTTGAAAAATAATATGACACAAGAAAGGCTTTCAGATTTGACCACTATTGAATCCGAAATTTCTGAAAAAAATCGATTTCACCGAAATTATTGACAAATTTGCTTCTCAGAAAGCCAGAATAGCTAAGGGTTTAATAATACAATTAGAAAACATAAACGTACCTTCTACTTTTGATGATAGCTACGAATCCTCTTCTATACTTCTTATTGAAAAATGCGTACAGTATTGGATTGATACAAGAATTAGATGCTCCTAACCACTGAGCTACCGGAGTAGCGATAGGTAAAATTTCTTCTTCCCATGGCTCTATTTCACCGCCTAGTTTGATTCTAGCGAATATGGCGTACAGAGGTAGCCAAGAAATAACGAATAGTATAACAACGGCGATCAACATTTTAACAACTTTGACTTTCGATTTTGCTTGAATTTTTTCCATGTGCGCGTCTTTGGTATCGGTTGGAATGGCCCGTTTCCATACCTAAAAAATGTATTTATTGTTAAATCAATACAAGCAACAAAACTTTACTGTTTATATTTTATTACGCAGCCAATACATATCGTCAGTTTGGAAGAATAGGACTATATCTCAAAAAACAAAAAATAGGAGAGCTCATTAAAATATTATACAAGTATTAGAAATTAAAAATTAAAAATTAAGAAAAACCGACTTCAAAAACGTGCAGATTCCATCACCACATCTTAACCAAATTTATATGGAACCACCCCTGAGGTACCCCCTTACTAACAAAAAAAGAATCATATGAATCGGACAAGGTAGTAAAGCATTATCGCTAAACATACATAAAAAATGAAGAGTTTGAGGATTTTGTCATGGATACAATTATTAGATTTTGACCAAATTTATATGGGACCACTGCTGAAGTACCCCCTTTCTAACAAAAAAAGAATCATTAAAATCGGACATCGTGTTAAAGAATGATCGTTGAACATACATAAAAAAAAATATCGCGACGAATTGATAACCTCCTCCTTTTTTGAAGTCGGTTAAAAATTATATGGGACCACTCCTGAAGTACCCCCTTTCTAACAAAAAAAGAATCATTGAAATCGGACACCGTGTTAAAGAATGATCGTTGAACATACATAAAAAAAATATCGCGACGAATTGATAACCTCCTCCTTTTTTGAAGTCGGTTAAAAATAATAATATTGTGAATATTATTAGGAGGAAAAACAATTCTAAGTATAATGTTTGGGTTTTCATAAAATGAATGGTTAGTATTTAGTATCGATTGTTAATGGAATTTATCGTTAATATTGTTTTTTACATTTTTGTCAATTCTCAAAAACTATTTATAAAAAAACCGATCTAATTGGAGATGTGATTTTGCTCATAGAAATACCAGGTGTTCAAATTAAAGTGTTACAGTTAAATACCGCCAAAAATATGCATTTTAGAAAAAAAGTTTCAAACAAAAATTTTATAGTTTTTTGGGGGAAACATTTTGGCTAAAATCATTTTTTTTATAACTGACCATAATATGGCCATATCGAGGTGGACTTTGTTTTTTTAAATTGGAACCCCATTTTTTTGTTTACATATTCTTAAAGTGCATAAAAAAATAAGAAACTTTTGAGGAAAATATTGTTTTTATTGGACTTTTACTTTTTGAGTAACAGCTACTTGAAAATTTTCCTGGGCGAAAAAAAAGTTGTCCATATTATGGTTAGCTATAAAAACGATTTTAGCCAAAATTTTTCCCCCACAAAACTATAAAAAGGTATTTAGCTGTAACACTTTAATTTGAACACCCGGTATATTTTGAGTTAATATAGCAAAATTTAAAAAAAAAAACAAAATTTTGAGATACGACTATCTTGTGTCAAACTGACTATATATCCGAATAAGTTTGGGCTCAAGAGGATTCACAAAAATATTTCTAAAGCAGGCCATGTCTACGTACGATTCTGAATTAAATTCAAACTGACATTTAAAAATAAGAATTGTATCGGGTGGCACAATAAAAATAGTTTTCAGCTATCTGAGGAAACGTTAATAAACTATTTTTAAGATAAGAAGAGAGGGACGTCATTTCTAGTTATTTCTATTGTCAACGGAATAACACGAAACTAAAACCAAGTACGATTTAAACTTAACTCTTAAAGGTTGGCAACACTTAACGAGGTTGCCGATATGACAAAATACTTGATTCATCAATCAACATTCGTTTGCAGGTTAGGTCGTTTCATTTGATTTGTTGTATATTCAGTTTTCTTTAAAATTTACTAGAAACAGTAATTTTGATTACTAAACACTTATTTTCATAGCTAACTGATTGTTAGTCTTCAGTGTGAGGTTAAAATTCAAAAACATTTAAATACCTAAATCTTTAACCAGCAAATGGAAAGGTAACAGTTCTGTTAAACTATTTTTGACTAGAATGTGAAAATTGATGGCTACTACTTCCACTTACTTCTATAAGAGACGTAAGTAATGATATTTAAATTAATATGTGTTGTGAAAACTCACAACATTTTGGCTATTATTCTTTGTGTTAACAGTTTTTTAGAATGTTATTTAAATATTAGTTACCTTTATTAACAATAATTTAGGTTAATTTTTTAATATTGAGTTTTATTGAATCTAAAAGCAACGAAGGTAACTCAGGGAATCCGTAAATTACTTGCACCTTTAGGAAAAACAGACTTCTTAAGTCGTTATTGTTTATATATTATTTGGCTTATCATTAAACCCTAAGTGTTTGATGACCATTGATGTTCCACGAATAGAGTTTGGTACAATATGTAATAAGATGCTAAATGTAGGGTTAGATTCATGAAACTCGGAGTACCTATGCTATATAAAGTATATACTGCTATTCAAAATTATCGCAACACTTGGAAACCTGGACATAAAGAACTTCTAATCAACTGTTGTTTCTTCATAAATGTTTTTGTTTCATCAGAGATTAGGACTCCTACAGTCAGTGAGGTTCCAGATACCTTACAACTAAGTCTTACAACGGTCAATTGTATTGTAGCCAAGCATAACAGAGGTGGAGTTCCTAAAAGCACACCGAAGAAATGACAACGTTCAAAACCTATTGTTGGAATTGATGTCTTTGATCAAAATGTTTTCCGAAATGTTATTTATGAAATGTACAGAAACAGTGAGTGTGTGTATTTATCAAATATACAATATAATCACATCATTTAATAAGTATTTTTTTCAGAGGAACACAACCTTACCAACATTAAAACAAAAACTTCAGGAACGTGAACTTTTCAGTGGTTTCTATATCGTAAATATGGCAAATTGGATGTAAATACAAGAAAGATGATCCACGTCGTGGTTTAATGGAAGTACAGCATATTGCTTTTAAACGAGTACATTTTTACACGAATATGTTAAAATCAAAAGGGAAGCTTATATCAGTTTGTGTTTTGGATGAGACATGGATATTTAAATATGGTACAGTTAGATGTTCCTGGCAAGACTCTGATATTTACTTTATAGGTAATACGATTTTTCAAGTTTTTTAAATTTAGTAATGGCATATAGTTAAATTTTTGATATGTTTAATTTTTGATATAACGCTTTATTTTTTCATTGAGGGTATATAGTACTGCATGCAGGTACAACATCTGAATTTGATTCTGGAACCTTATTTTCTTCTAAAACTTTTTGCATTTGTTTGACTATCAGCTTTTAATGAATTAAGAAGAACCTTCTACAATTATTATGGATAATGCCAGTTGCCACAGTACGGTATTTAATAAAGTGCCGACAATAGCTGCCAAAAAAGCTGGTTAACTGAACATAGTATTCCTTTTGAAACAACTTTGGTCAAAATACAGTTATTAAATTTGGTACAAATAAATGTGAGTTAATGTAAAAATTTCTAAATTTATTAAGTTAAATAATTTACTGACATTACAATAGAGGATAACGTGTGATCAGAATTATTTTTTTATTTTTTTAAAAAATTAATAATTTGTAGGAATAAACCACCAGAAGAATATCAAGCTGATATGTTAGCAAAAAAATTTGGACATAACATTCTTCGACTACCGTCCTTGCCATTGTGTATTTCAACTCTATTGAACATATTTAGGGCATTACTAAAAATTATTACAGCAGTAATGTGGGATAGGATGGTACTTCAGCAGAAGAAGCTCTAGCTACATGGAGAAAAACTTTTTAGAATAAGCAACTCCTGAGAACAGTTCAACACACTGAACAAATAATACAGAATTGGTGGTATAGGGAAGTGGTATTTGATAGGGAGGATTTGTTTTCTCTTATTATTAAGTTGGATGAGGATAAATTAATAAATAAATAATATTTATTGAGCAGCTATAAATACATTAGTGTCTCAAAAGGATTAAATTCGGCTAAGCCATTTTCAATTCATCCTTAGTGGCTTAATCAAGTCCTTAGATAGCGACGCTAGTTTTGCCTCCACAAGAGGCCAGGAACACGATGCAACTAGGAAAGAGAAAAGGCCGCGATCTCACACCTCTTCCGAGGTAATGCCCCGGAAGGGGAAAAAACCCAGACAGGACCACAAAGTTCTGTCTGGGATAAGCTACAAGGATGCAGCTACGAGCCACCTGAAAGTAGCTATAATAGACAAGAATAACCCTTACGGTAAGATAACTAACGAAAGAGAAATCCTTGTCAAGACATTGATGGGAGAGCTGCACAAAACAATTTTGTCCGCCTCCTGCAGCAAAACCAAGCCACCCACCTTCAGGTCTTGGATGCACTCTGGTGAAATCATCAGAGTAACGTGCGACGATGACCTGACGTTGGAATAGCTAAAAACCAAGGTACCAAACTTAAAAACATGGAAAGGAGCAACATTCGCTGTTGTAAGGATGAACGAGCTCCCCAAGCTCACCAAAGCCTCTCTCTGGATCCCAGGGGAAGCGCAAGCTGACGTCGAGAAGGAGGTTGTGCTCAGGCGACTTGAGGGGCAAAACCCAAACTTACATGTGGTGAAATGGTGCACCTTCCACCATGAATTAGAAAAAAGTCCCCTGGGCCATCTCTTCGTCTTCGATATCGGAGACGAAGACATGGGAACCCTAAAAGCCAAATCAATGAGAATGAGCTATGCGTTCACCTCATTGACTATAAGGCCAAAGGTCGAAAAAGAAGCTGAAGCGGGGCCCAGTGGATACTCCTTGGTAAAAAACCCTCTTCCCCCCAATTCAAGCCAACAGTGGAGGACATCAAGCCAGAAAAAATGGCAATCGATGACTTCCAGCATAAAAACTCCGAGGAGGCACAAGAGATCACCCCCTCCCACTTTCAGAGGAAGGGATGGTCGAATAAAAAAAACACCTTGTTGCCCAATTTTTAACGGAAGACCGGGAAGCAATAAAAGAGGTAACTATCATACAATGTTAGGATAGCCATTTACATTCCTAGGAAATACAAAGCCCACTCAATGGCGCACCTTTCCACCTCCCATTTAACTACGGTTAGGACGGAATACGCCATCAAAAAGG